TCTGGCGGGGGCGGCTGAGAGAGCCGCCGGCGTCCTGCCCCCCATTACCTGGCTGGGCATTCCGAGGCTGGGAGGAGGCCTGGGCCGGCTGAGGTCACAGCACCGGGGCCGCAGACGGTGGACGGAACCGACCCCGCCTGTACGCTGCCACCAAGTGGGGTCAGGACCGTGAGAGGGGACGCCATGCTTCCTGGACTCCTGGAGTCGCGAAATCCGGACGTCAGGGGACGGGGGCACGTCTAGCCCGACAGGGTTCCTCGCAAGAGGCCAAGCACCGGCGCCTGGAGTTCAGTTGGGGAAGCTGAGGACAGCCTTTGGCTGAAGCCAGAGCACAAGGCACTGTGCCTTACACGCCCTGAAGGGGAAGGATTCCCGCACCCTCCTCAGCAATGATCATAGTAATAGACAAGGTAGGCCAGGCACGGTGGATCAGCCTGTCGTCCCAGCACTTTGGGAGGCTGAGGCGAGAGGACTGCCTGAGCCCAGGGGTTCGAGACCAGCCTAGGCAACTTGTGAGACCTCGTCTCTACAATAAATTACAAAAATTAGCCGGGCGTGGTGGCGTGCGTCTGTAGTTTCAGCTACTTGAAGGCCGAGGCAGAAGGATCACCGGAGCCCAGCAGGTGGAGGCTGCGGTGGCCGGGAGCGGCCCCTGCACTCCAGCCTGGGCAATGGAGTGAGACTCCAACTCAAAAACAAACAAAAAATAGACAAGGCGGCGTTAGACACCTATGTCAAACACTGTATACAGAATACCTATCCTCAGAGGGAGGCACTATCATGTTTTCATGATTATTTTTTTGAGTTGGAGTCTCACTTTGTTGCCCGGGCTGGAGTGCAGCTGGAATCACAAGTGTGCGCCACCACGCCAGCTAATTTTTTGATTTATTGTGGAGATGAGGTCTCACCAAGTTGCCCAGGCTCATCTCGAACCCCTGGACTCAGGCAATCCTCTCGCCTCGGCCTCCCAAGGGCTGGGATGACAGGCGTGAGCCACCGCGCCCAGCTTGTTCCCACTTTATAGAAGTGGAAAAACTGAGGCCCAGAGAAGTGAAGCTGTTTGCCCAAGGTCACACAGCTGGGATTCAAATGCAGACCTTCTCAGCCACCATGCTTGGCATGTTGGTAAATCTAGGGGATGGGTAAGTCTCTGCCTCTCTGGGCCTCAGTCTACCATCTGTAAAACGAGACAGTGGATGTTAAAGTCTAACCCTGGGCCCCAAGTCTGGAGAGGAGGCAGGCTTGGTCTCATGTCGGCTTTCCCAGTTCTTTCAGCAGATACCTGCGCCAGGTACTCGTCTAGGCTCACGCCTATAATTCCAGCATTCTAGGAGGCCAAAATGAGACGATCGTTTGAGCCCATGAGTTTGAGACCAGCCTGGGCAACATAGCAAGACCATATCTCTATAAAAAGAAAAGGAAAATTATTCAGGTGTGTTGGTGTGCGCCTGTAGCCCAGCTACTCAGGAGGCTGAGGCAGTAGGATCACCTGAGCCCAGGAGATCGAGATAGCAGTGAGCTGTGATCGTCATGATCATGTCACTGCACTCCAGCCTGGGCGTCAGAGTGAGACTCCAACTAAAAAAAAAAAAAAAAAAGAAAGCAGCTTAAGAGACTGTGGGAGGGTGGGGAGAGAAAGGGTGCCATCTTGGTGCCAGTGACCTCTGAGCTGAGACTCCAAGGAGGTGGGGAGCAGCTGGAAAGGCTAGGCCTGGCAGAGGGAACCGCAAGTGCAAAGGCCCTGCGGCAGGCGGGGCTCAGCTTGCTGGTGGAAGCCACAGCCTTGAGGCCGGTGGGTCTGGAAGGGGGTGGGTGAGGCCGGGGGTGGACACACAGCGGTCAGCGGCAGGGGTCAGGGGCACATCTCGTGTGCCCTGGCGAGGGTTCGGCTGTTACCCTCGGGAAGACGGGAGCCACAGAAGTGGCAAGGGCGGAGGCAGGGAGCCCCGTGGGGATCCAGGGCAGGAGGTGGGACAGCGGGACCTGTGAGTGACAGGTGGTGTCTGTGGGTGCATGCCTATGGGGGTGAGAGGTGGAGACGGCAGACCCAGGGAGCCCCCAGGATGGGCAGAGGTGCCCCAATGCCGTGTGTGTAATTCTGAGAAGTGCGGTGGCCGGATTCAGGTATTAGGCACCTACTGTGTATGCTTTGGGACGTTAAGTGCAGGAACCTGTCTACCTCTGTCATTAGGCCCATTTGCTTTTTGTTGTTGGGGTTTTGTTTTTTGAGTCAGAGTCTCACTCTCGCCCAGGCTGGAGGGCAGCGGACGCTCCCGGCCACCGCAGCCTGGACCTGCTGGGCTCAGGCGAGCCTTCCGCCTCAACCTTCCAAGTAGCTGGAACTACAGTCACACACCACCATGCCTGGCTAATTTCTGGATTTGTTGCAGAGATGAGGTCTCGCCGAGTTGCCCAGGCGGGTCTCGAACCCGTGGGTTCAGGCAGTCCTCTCACCTCGGCCTCCCAAAGTGCTGGGATGACAGGCGTGAGCCACCGCGCCCGGCTCATCAGACCCATTTTACAGACGAGGCTGAGGAAAGTCTAGGCGCAAGTGCCCGAGAGGCCCTCATGTGCCCCCGACCCGCCCTCGGACCTGCGCCTGGGCAGCTGGCTGCTCTGTTGGCCAGGGAGGGGCCCCTCCCTGATGTCCCCAGTGGTGTGTGCCAGCCCTCCCTCTACAACGCCAGGTCAGCAGATCGCCTCAGAGAGGTTGAGACTTGAGAATGGGAGGCCGAGCGGAAGCCCTTGGACTTGGCGAGGGCTTGGCTTCTCCCTCTGTCGCTGGGTCTCCCCTCTCTGACCCTGGCGCCCCTCTGTGCAGGAGGTGGTGACGACCGGGCCAGGCTCTGGTATGAAACACGAGTGTTTGTTGAGTGAATGAGTGATATTTGGGGTTTGGACTAAGGAGGGCAGATGTGGAAGGAGTGAGCAGCTCCCTGCTGAATTTGGGGGGCAGACGGACGAGTGGGGGCATTTCGAGGGGAGAGGAGGAACTGTGGGGAGGACTGGGGAGCGGATCGGGGAGTCGGTGGAATTGGGGGGCAGAGGCTGGGGTCTTCTTACTCCCCTCAGCCAGGGGCTGGAGACAGACAGACTCGGGGCTCCCGTCCCAGGGGACAGGACCCGAGCATGGGGGAACAGCAGGTCCCCGCCCCTCCCCCAGCACACCCCTGTCCCGACGTGCCCATTAACGCTGTTAATTGCAGCGGCTCAGTCTGACCCAGGCTGCTCCTGTGAGAGGGAAAATGAAGGAATTAGCAAAAATGACAGGGGAAAATTGCGACAATTAGCAGGCCGCATTGTTCCTGCCTGTCACCCGGCTGGTTCTGAGCTGCATCCCGGGGGAGGGGTCCCCGTCACACACACCCCCCCC